TTGTAGTGGTTCCATTTGACTCCTGTGTCCTCAGCTGGGCCTTGCTTTCAGGTTTCCCAATTGGGGCATTCACCAAAAGTTGTCATGGACCTACCATACTTTAACCTATTGGTCTAAAGGCAGGATCTTAGTGTGTCTGACTCAAGCAGTTATGTTTAGTACTTGTTAAGAATTTTGAGATTACAAAAGCAGTAAGAAGGATTAAAAGAATATCAGAAATGTTTTTGCAGTCTGCTGCTTTTGTGGCCCTTTTGCAAACCCAAAGATAAATTCAAGTTGCTGGTATTCAAGTATTTTAGGAGAAACCAACATAGCTTTCAGATCAGCTGTCCAGTTAGTAGATAAAAGAAGATCTCAAGTTCTTCTACTTTTCCTTAAGAAAAGAAGAAAGCGGGGAATTGCTCATTATTGGAACAGAGAAGGGGGAAAACAATCATCTTTGTATTATTCAAGGCCTGAAAACTATTTTATCCAAAAAGCTATTAAAAAATACCTCCTACTCTATCCTTGCTCCTCATTTTCCTTCCTTTTCAGAGCTGCTTCATCCTTATCTATTAGTCAATCTCACATTTGGTTTGCACTTGTCCCATGATACCAGTCTTGCTGCTGATCCCTCAGTGTCTTGCCTTTACCTGGCTCTTCATTCTCCTTTGGCACTTTTTCCCTTGAAACAACATGTTATAATTTCTCAGCTAAAGAAAACCTTACTCTTAATTCAAATTGTTCCTCCGTAGCTTCACCATCTTTTCCTGTGGTTATTAACATTTTCCCCCTATTTAAAGTCATTATGGAAGGATTGTTCTTTTTCCAAATCCCTTCCAACATGTGTGCAGGCAGCCTCCAGGCATGGTGGAGGCTGGACATGCCTGACCAGCCTGGAGAGCTGGTGGCTGCTGCATGGATATCTATGGTGCTTACGGTTGAAGCTGTGCAGCAGGGTCCCAGGCTGGTCTCGCACTGTCTCTGGAGGCAGCATGGTCAGATTTGTGCAGCTTTGCACTAAGATGCTCTGAGAGCTGAGCTAGTGCTCTAGGCTGACTTGGCCAAGTTGTCACTGTGGTTATTCTGCACCTATGGGCAGAGCTGCGGACAGAGCAAGGTGTAATGTCATACATCATGTCACAGCTTCCTTATAAGCACGAGTCTCCCTTGCAGCAAGGCAGTGCTTGCAGGGGAAACAACTACCCCATCTTCTATTTGCAGAAGAAAAAATGCTTTGATTGTGGTACAGTGACACCTGGCTGTGCCACCTGGCATATGGGACATGAGCATGAGCCTCTTTACTGGAAACGTGGCTGTTGATTAGGGCAATTGGTTAGGTTAATCCAGCATCAGTGGAGACTGTGGACTCAGCCCTGACTTTATAAGACCAGCAGAAGCTGGTCAGGTTATTTATAGGAACCAAAATCCATGATATGGGCCTTAGGAGCAAATGGAAAATTCTGGGACCATGGAGATGTTGGGTTTTTAAGTACTTTGTTTTGAGATGTGTTCAATATTCATGCTTTATGGGCAGGTCTTGTTTCCCTAGGGGTATGTGTGATGGAGGCACTTCCATGCACCCATTTGTAATAAGTTTCTGTTTTTTTTTTTTTTTTTTTCTCCTCATAGCAATTGAGTCCCGACTGCTTACCCTGAGTAGGATCCCCATAATGTGGTTCTCCCCAATATATTTTCTCTCCAAGAAAAAATGAGAATACACTGACCTCCTAACCTCATGGAAATCATTTACCCACCTGCCCCGCTGGTCCCACACAGAAAATGGATTCCCTAACTTGTAAGGCAATGCCCAGTAAACAGGGATGTGCTCTAATGCCATGGAAAAGGGGACCTTGAAATATCTAAAATAGAAAAAGACTATTGTGCCATTGTGCTATGTTTCTAGGATATGCATTTTTATTTTGGCCAGAAGCAGAATTATGTGCATTTTGTAGTGTTTTCACTTCTGCTTATGGTAATTTTTTCAATAGGTGCATTCCAGAGAAATTGAGTTCCCCGTAACTTTGATGTGAGGTACGTTATTTTTCAAATACCCATTTGCAGCCACATCATTCCCCATTGTTGGTTATAACCTTCATTTCACAGATGACAGGGCAGAGCGTTTGCAGGGACAACGCACAGTCACTGCTCAGATGGTCTCAAATCCAGTTTACAGCTCACCCCAAGGGCTGTCAGGTCACACTCCCCCTTGATTCCAGGGGGACCAGTGCTGTTACTGAGCATATCCATAATGCCCATTTTCTTGATGGACTTGACACCAAAAATTGTAGAGAAGGAGAGAGAGGTGGTTTATAAAGGTGCAGAAAGACATCTGTCAAAAGCTAGCCCCAAATGGTTATAAGCTATAAGCTTTCAGCAGGGGCACTGCTTTTTTACTTAATCCTGCTACAAGGAAGGTCCATTTTTTTGCATTATGTTCGTGGCAACAGATACTACCACTAACAATGGAATTGCTGTAAGCTTTCCTTTTGAAAACTTCCTTTAAAATAAAATCACTAATGGTCATGAATATAAGAAATGTATCAAAAATTCTCAGTCTTCCTTGTGACACACTTTTTTTTTTTTTTTCTCTAATCCAGCTGTGTTTTCTCCTGTTTATGCCACTTGGTACATTGAGGGTCTCATCTCCCTGCAACCTGTAGGTCCTAATATTAGTAACCCTAGTGTTAGTTTGTGTATTAGTAAAATCTCTTTTCAGTTAACCAATGCAATATATGTAAAATAGTGGAGAATTTTTCTCACTTAAAAACTAGGAATCTAGGCTGCAAATGAGACAGGTAGTGGCGATGGTGTTGGGGAATTGAACTAGTAGAGGTCTGTGGACTCTGTTCCTCAGCCAGTAGTCTTTGTCTGCTCAGACTTCTCTCAAATAGTCTTGATTTTTCCACCTATGTCAAAATATATCCACCAGTGCAGGCTCTGCTTCCTGCTGTGGCTCACTCCATGAGATAATTGCCCCAGCTGTGAGAGGATTTCTCTGGTTTAGATGAGCATTGAAGTCTGTAAGTTTTATGTTTTTATGCACCTATTGGAGAACAGAAACTTGAATTTTATTTATTTTTCAGTGTGCTAAAGGATGGCACCACGTAATATCAAAATTGGAACAATGTGTGCCAGAGTTTAGGCTAAATGACTTCCTTGAAAGGTAAGGTGCAGAAAAGAATTGAGTACGACTGTGCATAAGTCAACTCATTTTTTCCTTTAATATGAAGAAGGTGAAGGGACTTCATACTGTACAGTATCTCTCAGCCACCTCACTGTACATTTTGAATTCATTAAGGACTTTCCCTTCAAACATATTTTTGATGTGCGTGTGTTTTTTATTATCCTATTTATTTTTTTTAGGGTGGGATGAAGAGATTATAAATGTTATAGAATGAGTGACAGGTGAAAAAAAGACTGCATATAGCTTGCATGTCCTAAGAGATTCGATAACAGGTGAGACCATGCTCCAGAAGTGTTTATTTGGAAATCTGGACTTAAATTAAAACTTTCTCTCTTTCAGTTTCTTGAAGGTTGTGGAGTTGTGGAACTTTTATTCTTACCTCAGAAGTAGCAGAACCTTCATTTCATAAGCAAACTTGTATGTGTTGCAGAATCCTGTTAAAACATTGATTCGCAAAAGTGTGAGCTCCAAATCACTTTTATTTTTTCACATGTAGAAAACTTTGACTGGATTTCAGAAGGGAAAAAAAGGCTGAAATGATAGCCAGATCCTTTATTTTTATTTTTTTATTATTTTTGAAGCTTGAAATTTTGCACTATTACAATTTTTTATTCCAGAGCTGGATAGAATTGTTCCCTTTTGGTAAGTTTTAGGAAATCTGAAATAATGCCAAACAAGGAGTATTTATGCTCGTACCATCCCAGCCTTACCAGAAGCTGAGCAACCACCTGAACCGTACCCTCTAGCAAGGGCTAGAACCTGGAAACCCTGTCAGCTAAAACTGAATTCTATCTGTCCTCACTTGGTGGGGGAAGTTTGTTCTGCAAACCTTTTGAAGGGGGTATTTTTGCTTAGCTTGGTCTGCATTGGTAAAGCAGTTTGTGACCCATCACTTATTGATTCTGTGATAATGGGATAAGTTAATATTGGCAACTCATGACAATTCATTAATAACCAGTGCTATGAAAATGTTCAGTTAAGCATTACTAACATCAGTGAACTCAATGCTATTCTATAAGCAATTCCTGTTACCTGACACCCACTGCCTGTATTTTCCTAGGAAAAGATAGCTGCAAGGAGCAGGCTGTACAAATTAGTCTTGCGGAACTTTTTTTTTCCTAATGAGAGAAAGCCTGGAGCAAAAATGGCATCAACTGTGTGCTTGTAGACACTTGTCTGGTACATACCTAGCAAATCTGGCTCTCCCAGGGAGCATGGGTGCTATGGCATGGACATGAGACCGTTTGTGCAGTGAAGTGCAATTTTCACTGTCTTGGAATCTAACTTCTTGTCCAGTCAGAAAGATCAAGCACCCTACTCTGGAACTTATAATGAGTAATGCAGATAGGAGCAAAGGGTCCAAGCTGGTAGGAGGCAGTGATCAGGCTGTACAGAAAAGGATTATTCTGAATGTAGTAACATTCCTTCTCTAGGAGAAGTAAGGCTTCACTGGCTTGTGTGTCTATTTTTCATCCTCAGCCACTGAGCACTGGAAGGATTTCAGAGCAAAGAAAGATGTTCTGGGATTCAGGAGAATGAGAGAGAGGAAAATACTGCTTTATCATCAGAAGGGGGTGATTTCTGGAGTCCCAGTCTCTGAGCTGAGGACTCAACAGAACATAGGAGGTGGAAGGAGATTTTCAGCCATTTATCTTCATGCAATGGCTGTGGAACCAGTGACCAGCAAATGAGGTAGGTGAATGTTTGTTGAAGACCCCCACAGCTGCCTTTGTGGCCTGGAAAATTTTATAAACATAGCCCTGACTGGTTTTAAATGAAGAATAACTATATAGAATGTTTATTTCTTAATTGAAGATTGATTCCAAAACCTTTTGCAAAAAAAAGTTCCTGGGATATGCATAAACTCTCTAGAATTTCTGTATTGAGTGCAAGTGCCCTGGCCTAATCTTCACTAGCAGCTGGGTTCATAACTTTCCCCAGAAATAATATGCTATGGACAGTTTTGTCAAAAATTATCATCATGAAGGGCCTGTTGAATTTGATGACAGGAGGGGGAGGAATCGGAAGCGACATCGGTATGATTTCTACCACAGTCACTGCAGCAGCCTCTGTGCCATTCTCGTTAACGTCCACCGTTGCCTTGTGCATTGCCTGCAAGGGAAGCAGTGATTAAAATGTAGATACAGAAGAATGAAAAGTAATTGCAGCTGACGAACTTGCCTATTTTGGTCCCATAAGAAGGTAATTTGTAAAAGGAAGTGCAGAATGAATTTATGAGTGGGTATGGAGCAGATACTCCACACCTAGCCTTTGAAGAAGAGCAAAGCTTGCTCTAAGCTTAGTGAGTTTTCTTCACTAATTCAGCAGAGGCAAACTCTGCTGCTTGCAGAAACTGAGCAGAATGGAGGACACCTCTAGCTGTTTCTGAGAGTAAGGTTTTGTACTTTAATATTGGAAAAAAAAAAGTAAAGAATATCTCTGCTTTAAGTAAATCTGTGTGTGCCGAATTTTCTTTCTGTAAAGACACACTTAGTGACAAGCTGTAGCAGGTGTCTTTCTGGATAGCAGCTGGCACATTGATATGGCTTAGCTGGGTTTTGCAGTGTTGGGTACAGCAAATTTTTACTTCTGAAATCACGTATGACTTTATTTCAGTCTTTGGCCAGCCGTTGGTGCTCTTCCTTCATTATTCAAAATGCGTCTTGGATTTCCTATTATTCAGTCATCCTATTTCCCTAATTCAAATTTTAGCACATGCAGTAAGGTACTATACTGTGTTAGGAATCACTAAATGAATAAATATTAAGAGGCTGCCCAGAGAGGTTGTGGAGTCTCCTTCTCTGGAGATCTTCAAAACCCCCTTGGACGCAGTCCTGTGGCACGTGCTCTAGGTGACCCTGCGTGTGCAGGGGTGTTGGACTAGATGATCTCTAGAGGTCCCTTCCAACCTTAAGGATTCTGTGAAATATATGGGAGGGACCTCTAGAGATCATTCAGTGCAACCAACGATCCAACACAAGACCTATATCAGGTTACTCAGGGTCTCATCTAGTCATGTTTTGAACATTTGTAATATGAGGATGATCAAATGCTAGGCTGTTCAAACACATTTTGAGAGATTTTTTTCATAACTTTTATTTAGAATTTCCCCTGATCTAAACTGTGTTTATTGCCTCTTGCCCTGTCCCTGTATACCTGCAAAAAGAGCCTGCCTCCATCATTTTTTGCACCCTCCTGTTAATGCTGTCAGTTAACTAAGGTCCCCTCATCGCTTGTCCAGACTGAACAAGTCCAGCACCCTGCTTGTTCTGTGACCTTCTGCTGGGCTTACTCTGCTCCCATATGTCCACATCTCTCTTGCATGAGGAAACTCACAGCTGGATGCAATACACCAGTGGTGATCTCACAGATGCAGAATAGAGGAGAATAATCACTCTCATGGCACAAGACATACCTTCCCTGGAACGCTAGGCAAATCACTTAATTTTTCTTTGCGTGTTTTTTGTTTGTTTGTTTTGCAAAATAAGTATTTTCCTACTCGCAAGTTTGTTCATGGAGATTCCAAGGTATTTGGATAATGCAAGAATGAAATGCATATACACTGAATAATTATTCCTAATTTTATGCCATAACTATGACTCTTATCATGTTACTTTGCATTTCCTTTATGTGAAAGTATCTCCTATACTTTACTTGCAGGAGGAGAAAATAGGTCCATAACTTTCAGCTGACTTTGTAGCATTGTTGTACAATAAACAACTGAATGTTGAATTCTTGAAACAATAGCCATCTAATCCCTAACCTTCTCCTTCCCTTATTGTTATCAGAGTCATGAATATACTCCTCAAGTGGGATTGGGCTATTGCAAAGATAAAAATCTGTATGTAATAGGGGCAGACATGTTTCATAATCTTTATGTTTGTTTGCATACTTACTTTTGAAACCTTTAGGCTAGTGTTTTCTGTCATTCCAGAGAGATTAGCTTGATCACCAAATACTTCTGTCACACCCATCTTCTTGAACAGGTTCTTGACATCATAGCAGCCGGAGATGGAGAATTTCGGAATATACAGATGGATTTTTCTTTTCAGAAACAAGTTAAAAATGTGGGTTTATTATTGAAAAAGCCCTTGATGCCAAGAACTCTAGCAGGTGTATATACACTCATTCCAAGTATCTGTGGTGCTGACCTGTTGAGGCTTGGCTTTTTAAGAGAGTGGCAAGTCCCATGTTATAGAAGCAGAAAGTGAGGTACCAGCCACAGTTTGATCAGTTGTGTAGGGGCACAGCGCTGATTTTGGAAAGCGGCTAGGTGGAGAGTGTCATCCAGAATGGAAAAAAGAAAATGACATTTCCTTTTAAAGTGGCTTTTTCCTGCTCTAGGTTGGCTCCCAAGAGCCACATACCTTCTCCACATTTGGTAGCACTCCTGTGGCTGGGGGAGCTGAGCAGAGAGTTCCTCCCATAGACCAGAGGAGGTATCAGGAGGTATAAGTGGACTGTACAATGTGTGGCTCCTCAGAGCTGGGCTTAGCAACTCAGTGTGAGATCCTGTCTGGATGAGTATTTATTCTCCATTCTATGCTTTAACATACCTGAGTAAAGGATCAGTTAAAGATTTACCTGCTTTTAAGTGATTTTGCCCAGTTAGACACAGTTTCTTTCAGTAGAACATCTTCCACCTGCTTCATTGCTCCTTCATCAGGCAGAACAAACAGTGCAGAAACGTCTCCTTTATACGGGATTTCTACAACCCAGCAAGACAACTTCTCATCCTTATACACATTATAGACTTTGCTTCGATGCATCATTTTAACCTTTACAGACTTCTTGGCATCTATGAAGAAGTCAGCATCCTTGGTGAGCAAACTGCTGAAAGGTTGTTCCCAGTAGCCTGGTGACAAAAGAGTGAATATAGAGTTAAAAATCTGAAAGGAGGGCTAATTAGGCATACCAGATTAGCTGATGCTCAAAATAATATATCTGAGCAGATTATAGGATTCTTGTCTTGTGGCTGTGTCCAGAAGCTTTATATTGTTTTAATAGTTATAGCAATAATCACATAAATAAAATATATGTTGAGAATTGCTGTGGGAGAGTTGAGCTTCGTTCTAAGTCAGTTGTGAAACTTCCTCTGACTTCCACAACACAGGCTCCAGGCCTATTTCTTCCATAAGGGTGTCCTCATTGGTATGTCACTTTGACCATGTCCTGCACATGACTAAGTTGCCAAGCTCATCTATTCACTGTCCTGAACAGTATCATCTCTGAATCTGATTTAAAATGAATATGGTATTGGCCAGTAAATCTGTAAGTGGAGATTTTTTTTAGCGCATGTAAAAAATGATGCTTCACATCTAGATTTTATCCTTTAAAAGGAGAAAGATTTGCTTTCAAATAGGTGATGGCACATTTTGACTTTGAATAAATTATGTTTCAGATTGGAATTAGAATTAGGGAGCTTATGTGCATACCTCTACCCACACTCACCTTTAAAGAAAATGTAATTAACAAGAATCATTACTGTGTCTGAATCAAGACTCTTGAGGAAGTCAACAAATTTCCCATGAGTTTTCCTTTCTATGTAATCATTGATTTTCTTTTTAGCCTCTGAAATATCCTGGAAGTTACTAGAAACAGCTTCAGAATCATAAAAATTTGTGACATCATCCAGAAACTTTTGGAGCAGTTTCAGCTGGTCATCTACGAACAGGGCATTGCCCATGCTCAGCTGGACTTCTCTGTGAGGGTCGTTCAGCAGCTGCAGGAGATGCCGGAAGCCTTCGTGGACCTCTCGTTCCTCCATCTCCGTCATGTTGAAGGTGAGGCCTTTGTGCAACTCATGGCATGTGGCTGCTCTGGCCCCCAGGGAGAGCATTGCAAAGGCGGCTGAGATGCTCAGAGGAGAGAAGAAAATGTTCTTGTCACCTCCCTCTGCCGCAACCTGCTTGTAAAATCTAAATGCAAATTCAGCATTGCCTGGGGCTATCTTGAGATGAGGCAGGTTTTCCCCTTCAACCTGGGAATGGTCTCCTGGAGAATGAACTGCTTTTTGTTCCTCTTGTTCATCACTGTGGCCAGGCTCAGGGAGACCCTGGACATGGAGCCCAAGAAGCAGCAAACACAAATACAAGGTAGACTTCATTTTTTTTTTCTGATCAATTCTGTTCAGAAAAAAATAGAGTCAGTTTTAGAGCCAGTGCATTTTATCCTTCGTGCATAACAAATACAAGGTAGACTTCATTTTTTTTATTTTCCTGATCAGTTCTGTTCAGAAAAAAAAATAGAATCAGTTTTAGAGCTAGTGCATTTTATCCTTCCTGCATAAAAAAACAGACATTAATGGTTAGGATTACTGTTATATTTAGAAATACTCTTCTAGTTGGACTCCTGCCTAGTCCATTTCTATTCAGTTGCATCAGTTTCCAGCCAGCTGGGCATTTAGCAAAAGAAGAAAGATATTAATGTAGCATCATCAGGGAAGAATTTGTCCTCTGGAGCTTTGGTAAGGTATCATGTGTGAAATAGTTCTTGTCTTGGCATTAATTTCTTATCCCTGTTTTTTTAGTACTCCAAGTATGTAGATCTCTGATGAGATTTTCATCTGGTTTTCCCCTTTTCTGGCTGCCTGAATGAGATGCTGAAGATTTGAGGAGTGGCACTGCTGAGTATAAGTGCTTAGCTTACCTAAAAACTGAGATGAAACCATAGATTCTGGAAAGAAAATGGCGTTCTAAATGGAAGCAATTCATTTTGAGATGATGAGTACTCTTTCCTTCTTTGTCCAGATCTGTTTTTGAGGAGGATGAGATTCTCCTCCTGGCTGCCTAGGTGCCAGTAGCACCATTGGGAGCACTGAAGGTTCAAGGACTCTACTGTCATGTCTAGCAGGTGTCCCATACCAATCTGGAGTAGCCAGGAATAAATAAGTAACATCTGGTGTCCTTGTAGTAGTTCTGAGCTGGGCCACAGTCATTCCTCCAGTGGAGATGCCATGGCAGAGATAATACTCAGGTAATGAAATCTCCAGGGATTTTATTTCTAACCTATTACAATACGAATATATGTGCTACCTGGCTTTTATCAGAGGCTTGTTAATTGTCCTGTTTTTGACAGACTTTGGCAGAGATCTTTCATACAAAGGCTCCTTCTCTGCCAAATTCTGGTGCTCTCCTTGAGAATATGGATATGATAGCGCTTACAAAGAAAAAGTCACCAAAAGCTGGTACTATTTTTCTTTGCTCATTGTTTAGGTAACAAGCTTCTTGGAAGTAGGTGAATCCATTCTACTGAAGTGTTCAACAAACAAAATATAAAAATTAGATCTTGGTGGTTAACACATAGAAAAATATAGTCTAAATAAGAAGGTTTGGTATAGATATTGCTGACAGAATGGAGTTTACCAATAATATGCAGGCAATATCAGTCATCTCCAGAATGTGCTACTCGCTGTGTTTTGTATGTAATGCAGAAACAAGTCATTGAGGAACTGCAGCCTTAACAAGACGTGACTTCACTCTAATGCTCCTCTCCAACCTCAGATATAGACAAGAGATCTTGTACATCAGATACTTTATCAAAATTTTCAGCAAGATTTCTCTAATGTCCAGCAAAGCTCAGAACCCTAGACTCTGGCTGGAAATTACAAGAAATGCAATGATGCAATGACAAAATATTTTGAAGTGAAAATTTCTATATTTATTATTTCTCAGCAGTAATTAAGAGGATGCAGCCTCCTGCACCTATTTAATTATGTGCTAACATATTTCTCTGAGCATTCAAGAGCCTGACACTGTCAGACCTCTGATTTGTAAGGGACACTTGTGATTACAGTTGAATTTGCTCCTCAGAAGCAGCTTCAAGTTGTGTTTCACATAAGCACTGGTGACAGTAAAGTATTTGCTACAAATGCAATCTTCCAGTCATCCTACCATTATACATAGGAGTTTGACCACTGCCTGAATCCTCCTGACATTTAGAACATTCTTCCAGAAAGCTAAGAGTATTTCTAATTGCTGCTACAAAATAAACTTAGAATGAAGTATTGTATAATAGACAGCAGAGACCCCAGACAACATGAATTCAAAATCTGTTAAGAATGTATAATGTGGTACTTACAGTGCATTTGAAAAAAGTCTGCTGCACCCTCTCTTCTACAGCACTTCTTCTCTATTGTTCATTTTGCTGGGTAGGATTAAGTCAATGTCCACTGGTAAATATTAAAGAGAGCAAATAAGACTTATTTGCAAATCAAACACTGAGTAAGCTGTATTTCCTGGACACCAAACATTATAAGCCTGTTTTTCCTTTAAAGAGGCCAAATGCTGCCAGCACCAGGGCTTCTGAGAAAACAGCATAAGCACAGAGGTTTCTGCCTTGGGGTTTGAACTAAATTGTGGCCAAAAGGAGACAGAGAGAGAGAGAGGAGAGAAAAGAAAAAAAAAAAAAAAAGCTTTGCAAGGTGATGTGACATAACTGTTATTAATGCTTTAATAAACAAATACAAGAAGAGGTAGGACATCTCTGTGTATAAAAAAGATGATGTATTTCTGTATGTGTTTCTGTATGAGACATTCTGTAGCAGGGATGCTGCCTAATTGTAGCCAACGCTGTAACAAGTTTGTTCAGGAGTAGCTCACTCTTTTCTATGTTGCCCTGAAACATATAATGCAGAAATACCCTAACTTGTATTTTTGAAGGTCTCATTTGATTATTAGAAAAGGTTAATTATTAGATTAAGAGGCACTGGCTAAATTTACAAAAAGCCTTTAATGAGTTTAGTTTAGAAATTAATATAATAATAGAAAAAGAGTAAATTATCAGCATGGATCAAGAAATCATCCCACAGAAAACAAGTAGAAGAATAAAATGTACAATCTTCATCATGACAAAATGTTTCTGAGGGATAAGAAGGGACTCTTGCAAACCTCTTCAATAATTCCTTGTGGTATATATCATGCAGATATTACATATGAATCATGCCTGGGACTCTCCCATTTGAGAGAAACAGGAATTGTTTAGCTATTTCTAAGGTTATTAAAGGATGAGTTGCATGGCACTCATCCTAATTAGCAATGACTAATTATTTCCCCTGCATGTACATGATTTCAATCTAGGTAAAACTACAATTTATCTACACATATCAACCTATCTGCCTTAGGTATTGTTACTTAATTACTATCTCTTACTAGCCAGAAATGATAAAAAAAAATTTCCCCAGTAACTCTTTATCCGTGATGTATGTAAGTACATGGAAAGTTTATCACAGCATTATGTGTAATCATCAAGGTTTACCAGGAGTTAGTATGCTATTGCTCAACTTTAGAAAAGACGAGCTATTTTTCTCAAGTTTAGGCCTGCCTACTTAGTATAAATCTTTCAATCCATCTTTAATCCTTGGCTAACCATCTGAAGGATGCTACTATGTTTAGGGAGATACTGTGGGGAACGGTGCAGGTTCTGCATCAATTGCTCTCTTCTCCCCCCAGCTCTCTCCTGATCAATACAGTGCAAGAGGAGAGTGAATTGCCACACAAGGATGAAACCCGTGTGCCTGTTACATGGCAGTGTCTGTGAGATCCTGATGAACATTAAGTCCTTTACTTCTTGTATGCATTTCCTCTTGTATCCATTGTGCCAGGAGTCAGAGGATCTCTTGCCATCTGGGAAAACATTGACACAAGTGTTTTCCCCCCTAACCTGATAATGACATATATGGACCTTTTGTTTATTAAC